CGATTAGTCGACTAATCGAAAAAAATAATCAGTGATTAATCGATTATAAAAATAATCGTTTGTGGCAGCCCTATCTGCAACAGACCGACATCCCCTTCGGTGAAGCAGACACTCACTTCAGTCAACAACGCGAGCCACGATCCATTATGCCTGCTTGTGTGTGTGTGTGTGTGTGTGTGTGTGTGTGTGTGTGTGTGTGTGTGTGTGTGTGTAAGGTGAGCAGACTGTTAAAGAGTCAGACTTTAAAAGCTCTGTGATGCACAGCTGGAGAAGCACTCAGTCTGCTCATCTGGACTGTTTACATTTATTCACTCGTTACAAAGGGTTTAAACCTGAACTGTTTCCCTCATTCTTTTAACTGAAGCTGGAGGTTTCTGTTTCAGATTTCATGTCAACATTTCAAACCAGTGAGTTTAATGCCTGGATAATAATTCATTATTAATCATGACAGAAAACATTTCTAAAAGGTGATGTGACTTTTAAAGAAAGTGGATGGATGTATGTTCCGTCAGTGCATGATGAGGTACACCACGGACTTAACGTCAGTGCCCAGTGCTAGCACTGTTTACGCTACGCTAACAACAAGCTGCTACAACACAGTGGATATCTGCACCAACATGAGCTCAATAGCTGGGAGTGAACAGTTGTTCACAGTTGGAACAGAAGAAAGAGTTAAGATAAGACTACCGTAGTTCAGTGGTGTGGAAGTGGTTCTTATATGAAAGGTCCGATAAACTTCAGCTGTCAGTTTGCTGTAAATTGTGATGGACTGTGGTGTTGGTTTAAGGGTTTAAAACATCATCATCTCCCTGTCAGCAGCTGTGTCCAGCAGAATAAAATGAACGCTGCAAACACAGACGGGTATTGAAAGTGATTTATGACTAAAAGTAATTACTTAAGATATCTAATTAAATTTGGACTAATGCTTATCTGAGATCTCTGTTTACATTCTGACTTGTATAAATGACATCAGGTTTACCATCACTTTGTGTGGATTCTCTAATTCAAGATTTCTGCACTAAATGACTGATCATCTGAAACATGTATTTCAGATAATTAAATTAGGACTACATGAGGTGTCACTCTTTGTTCTGACCAGTCTTAATTTTAATTAAACATGTTTTAAATGACATCAGGTTTGTAGCCACAGTAAATATTGATGTATTCTGATTTTTTTTTTGTTCTGCTCTCGGAGGAGTAAGACGCTTTTTCCTTCTCTCCTGCCCTTCCTTATCTTCCCTGCTTTGCTGCTTGGAACCTTCTCTACATTTAACATCTGAAACCAGAAATTATGGATATTTTTATTTTTATGGATTTGGTTAGCTGGTCTCTTAATAAATTTTTGGAACCAAGTTTTATTCCATGGGAGGACATGTCAAAGGTGGGACCTCTGTTCTGGATATACAGTATATCTGGATTCTGATCACTGGATTCTACAGATTGGCTTGGTGGTCTCCTGGTGTTTCTACAAAACAACGTCGATGGCTTTTCATTTCCTGGCTGACTGACCAATATGAAGGATTGCCGTTCTATCAGCACTCGGACATTTGCCTTGAGCGAGCTGGACTCGGTCTGCAAGCAGCTCTATTGAGGGTCGCGGACTGACTGTGGTCCCTGGACTTTGCTGGCCAGATGGAATTGATCTTGGAGAAGCTGATAACTCGGCTCGGTGGAATTTGTCCACACTATTTGTCTGATTGGATTCACCACCTTTGAGTTGTACCAGCAGACATTAAGGCTGAAGGATAATTGTTATTGTCTGCCTGGCTCAAAACATTCTATTCTGTTCCCAAACAACTGATTACAGATTCTGCTCTCCCCTACATGGCCTTGAGCTGTGGACTAAATTCTTCCTGGGTGTATATGTTGACTGAGGGTCTACCCCACACCTCCCCCCTCTCACTCCCGTCTGTGATCTGGTTCCTGGAGCTGAGGGCCACACAGAATGAACAGTTAACAGCCATATTCTGAACTATGGCTGCGCTGGTTTAGGGGACTCGATTCTTCGGGCTCATTCTTCAGATGTTCACACAACCATACAATACTCATGGCTTCCGATGCATGCCCCCTAAACTCATTCACTCCTCTGGCTAATAAATCTGCTCTATGCAGAGGTTTTGTTATAAACACCATAGTGTGTCACATAATATGTTTTGTTTTCCTCATCTTCCCTTGTGTGGTTTTTAGTTTTTCTTTTAAGGATATCGCCTCGTCATGATGTCTTCATG